TAACTTCCTATTTCCTGTGTTAGTCTGGGCTTTAGTTATCTAAAGTTTGTTCTGTTTGCAGAATCACAATGACCTTGAATACAGGGTCTGTCTCAGATAAATGGATAAAAGAATGAATAATTGAATGAATCCGGGTGATCCTTGGCACAGTAGAAGGAGAATAGTCTTTGAAGCCAAGAAGATCTGGGTCTGTGTTAGTAGCTAGGTGGCCTTGTGTAAATGACTTAGCCTCTGAGCCTGTTTCTTCAGCCTCTGAGCTCCTTTATTCATTTGTAAGACAGGAGCAGTAAGGGCCTCGTTGTGATAGCACTTGGTGTCCATCCACTCTCTCAAACACAGTGAAAAAATATAGGACAGTACTTTGCACATGGAAGCAAGAAGAAAATGATTTAATGGCACAAACGTGTGCTACAGAACGTGTGATGGTAAGAATAGAAACCAAAGAAGAGATACAAGAACAATGGTTCCTATATTTCAAGTGCCAACATTTTGCCAAGTAATATGCAAAAATATCAACACACATGACTCTCTGCATTTTGACAGAAACAGCTATAGATAGCATTTGCCTCAAACACTAGATTAACTAGATACACTGCATGTCATTTTATCTTTTTCTGTTTTTCTTATCATGAACCTGAATATTTACTTCTGAGCAATCCAATAATATTCAGATTTAGACATCACAAAAAAGTTAGAATTATGCAATTCTTCCAGACTTCATAACCTAAGGCAGAGATGCTTAAAATTAAATTATATCAGTAAAATGATGTTTGTGTAGCAATTTAGTTCACAAAGTGCTTTCATACACATCATCTGTTTAATTCTTACCACCATCCTGTAAGTTGATCCCATTGTATTGATGCAAATACTGAGGTTCAGAGAAGTTAAAAATTATTGGCACAGTTTACAAATGGCAAAAGTAGGACCCTTCCTGTGTTTTTGGACAATAATTTCAGGAAAATTTTCTCTATACAGTAGTTGCAGGGGATCCAACAAATGTTACTGAGAAATTACCATAAATTTCAAGTTTCTTGACGGTGACTGTCTATAAGTCAGCTTATGCACACTTAAATTTATAAATACACACCCAAATTCATACATATGCCAGTAGTTATCCTTGTATACGCAGCATAATACTAATGTTTGCTATTCTGACCTGTTTTATTACATTTTTTAAAAGTGATGGTTTTGACTTTCTAAGCTGATGTCACAACCCATTAATGGATCACAACCTCCAATTTGAAAAATACCATAATAGGTAAAGGGGGAACAAAAAGCTCTGAAGAGCTAGTCTAGTGGAAAACTAAAGATAAAAACAAAAGTAAAAATGATACAATGTATCCTCAAATAAAAGTTTTTTTAGATTATAATTAATTTAATTCACAGGTGTTTTCCTTGTATTGTCCTAAATACACTGTCACATAAAAATAATAAGAACTGTGTGAAGTAAAATGATAAGGGTCATAAGAGAAATAGAGGGAAAAGTATCAAGAGAGTTTGGAAGGAAGAATCACCTGAACCTTAGAGAAGAAAAGAAAAAATAAACTATTTTTAACATCCTAATTATTATGAAGAGGGTTTAAGAGTTGGTTTTTGAAGGATGAGTATGATTCCAACATAGTGATGTTTACATATTTGTCTCCTATGTGAAGATCATTATAATAGCAGCTATAATTCATTCATTAAATAAAGAGGTATTTATGGAGTACTTACTGTATACTAGGGAATATCCTTGGTGTTGAAAAAAAATAGGCGAAAATCCCTGCCCTTGTGGAATTTACATTCTTTACAAAGGCAGAAGCAGAAATGAATGAAATAAATACACAAATTATGTAGTTCATTAGTAAGTAAGTACTAAGGAGAAGAGCAAATCAGAGAGAGGGAATGGAGAATTCCATGGGAGGGAGTTGCAGTGTTAAATTGGGTGATCAGGAAAAACTTCATGAGAGGATGAAAGTTGAGCAAAGGTTGAAAGGAGATGGCTGAGCTAGTCCTATGGCTATCAGAGGAAAGAGATTCCAGAAAGAGGGAACAGCCAGTGCAAAGGCCCTGAGTCAGAAACAACAACAAGAAGACCAGCGAAGGGAAATGAATGAGAACAAAACTGATAGAAAGTGAAGACAGAGGATAATGCGGCTTAGCTCCGATGCGGCCTGAAGGCAGGTGTGAGGACTTGGGCTTTTCCTCGTAGTCAGGTGGGAAACCACTGAGAGGTGTTGGACAGAGCACCCAGAAGGTTTTATTTATATTTTATTAGACTTGTTAACAGCTCGGTTGAGAATATACCATCATGGGGTAAGGCTGAAGCCAAGAAACCAGTTGAAAGGCTATTTGAATCACTCAGATGAGAAATAAAGGTGGCAGCAGTGAAGGTAGTAAGACGTGACCAGATTTGGGATGCATTGTGAGGATGAGAGCTAAAGAGATTCCTGACATACTAAATGTGAGGAGTGAAAGATGACCCCAAGGTTTGGCTTAAGTAGCCGAAAGGATGGAGCTGGCATTGACTGAGATGAAGAAGACAGTGGATGGGGTCGATTTGGGCACAAAGAGCAGAAGTTTTGTGTTTGACATGTTGTATCCGAGATGTGATCTAAGTAGAGACATTGAGTGTGTCGTTCATGTCTTGACCTTTGGTCAAAGTCAAACAGGTGGGGACAGATCTTCAACATCAAAGCTAATCACCTCCAAAAACCATCTTTCTATTATACTGCTGCACTGTCAGTATTTTCTGCTAACACTCTTCAGTGGAATCTTATCCTATTAAGAGAGGGAAAGGATGGGGCTGGAGGTCCTTGTGATCTCTCGCCTCAATGAAGAGAAAAACCAAACTAAAAATGTTTGAAGCCATTCTAATGATAGACCTGCTAGAGACCTAGGGGTCTCTGTGAGTGTTCAGATAATAAAATCTTAGCACAAACTTTGACAAAAGTTCAAAAAGATGTATACTCTAATAGTTTTCCTTGCCTACTCTTACAGGTAAAAATGAGAATTTTGAAAATTCCTATTGATATGTATAGAGAGAGATAGATAGATACACAATGACACATATAAATATATATAAAAACATATAGTTTATATGTAAAATTCCAAATAGAAAGTCCAGGAAACTCAAAGGATTTTATATGTGAGAGTAATGGAAATATGTTTCTCCCTCAGCTGTTAATTCTATCAAATAATATGGGCAAATATTGAAGCAACCAGAGTTAATTCTCTTCCTACCCAACCACCAGTGCAGACTAGTTGAAAAAGAGATTCCAGTCTTTAGGTAGCCATATTAGAAAGTTTCCATCTCCCATCTCCACTCCTTTCTCCATCTCATTGTATTCCCTATTAGTAGTTACAGCTGACAAGAATATTTGTTTTTCAGCTCGGCGCCTATAGCTCAACTGGCTAAGGCGCCAGCCACGTACACTTAAGGTGGCGGGTTCGAATCCCCAGCCTGGACCCGCCAAACAACAATGACGGCTGCAACCAAAAAAATAGCCGGGCGTTGTGAC